AATTAATCATTGTGTATAAATTATAACTCATCGTTGAGTGTTTTTAATCCATAAACGTACACAAATTAGCACTTCAAAAAAACGCTACATTGTCCCAAGGTTCTGCAGTGTACATGTGAATTGGATAATCTGTACAGGTACCCCTGAAGTCACACTTCTCAGCAAGATCTGTAATATCCTGGTCTCTCTCACGTAGATTCTGTTTGTGTCTCTGTCAAAAGAAGAAGAAGGAATAGCTTAATGCGTGGTGCTGTCAGTGCCGCTTTCACAGTTGCTATTTTACGGTGTATTGTTAGTATTTTGGTTGTAGCACAGTTAAAGATTGTTTTCCAATCCAACTAACAGCTATGAAAGAGGAAAATGAAAAGGAAAATGCCTGAAGATAAAAAACAAGGACGACACAAGTTGTCTCCACCATGAACTAAAGAAACACACTTCAAAAGAATTGGGAATTCGGACAACAGACACCTCTATTAAATGGACACGGACACCAATAATAATAATGATAACAATAATAATAATAATAACATTTATAATGCGCAAATTTCATGAAATGTTCAAATGCACATGACAAGATTAAAAACGGAATAAAAAGGCTAAAAAGCTAAAATTACAATTAAAAGTAAACTTACAATGATTTTAAAAAGCTTAAATTACAATTAAGAGTAGACTTACAATAATAAAAACAACTATGATAAAAATGCAAAATATTAAGCCATTTTGTTGTACAAAACCTGCAATAAACGGACACTTTAAGGCTCATTTTACTTCTAAAGGATCAGCTGAGACTCCTTAACATTGTTCAGCGATATCCTTTTAAAGCCAAGTGGTAGTGGTGGTAGAAGTAGACGTAGTAGTAGGAGTAGCAGTAGCAGTAGCAGTAGCAGCAGCAGTAGCAGCAGCAGCAGCAGCAGCAGCAGTAGCAGTAGCAGTAGCAGTAGCAGCAGTAGTAGTAGTAAACTTTATTTAAGTGTCAATCGTTCTAGCGTTTTACACACTAATTGGTGACACTAATTAAAGAAAAATTAAGAAAAAGCATTAGAATTT